AAGAAAGGAACAACGGATAAACAACCCACGTGGAGTTTATTTACCAGAAAAATTAGTATTTTTCCCTGGTATAAGAAGGGACTTTGAGAGCTTATCCCACGTGAAGGGATGCACCTTTGCTCTGGACACATGGGGAAGGGCCTAGGCCTGTGCCAGGATGATGTGGTGGACTTTGCGGAGCCCCCGTTGAGGGCCCTACCCTGCCTGGGAGTGGAGGGTGGATGGGGTGGGGGTTAGGTCAGGGGAGGGAGAGGTAGAAGGGATTGACATGTGAAACAAGCTTGTTCCTAATTTGAACTAATAAAAAAATTAAAAAAAAAAACTTAAGTCAGGATCTCCTATAACCCAGGCTGGCCTTGAACTTGCTGTGTGGCTGAATATTATCTTAAATATCTGATCCTCTCATTCCGACTGTCTTAGGGTTACAGGCACACACTACCATGCTTGGCTTTCAAGATTGGGACATGAAACTCCCAGCTTTGTGTATGTGAGGTGAGCACTCTACCAGCTGAGTTACAGCTCCTGCCCATTCGTTGTGCATATTAGAAGCCAATTTTGTGCTTGCTGAAAAAGGAAAGTTCAACAGGGAGGTGCATTTTCTAAATGAGCTTGCTGGTGTTATACTTGAAGTTGATTGGTGAATGCAGGGTCCTTGCAATAGTCTCATCACAAAATGTTTTTGAGGCTGACTCTCACAGACTGGTTGCTTGATTTTCATTTGGTGGGAAGGAAGTAAGAGAGGAAGCACCATCTTGTACTTCTGCTTATCAACCCCCCTTCACCAACAAGGGGCAGTGGCTTGCACTGGCTGTGGTTCAGTGGCTCAGGTGGCTTTCCTGCAGATGGAAGAAAGCCTTTCTGGTGGCAGAATAGCAACTTCCTGGAGAAGAGGGCCAAAGGAATGTGGGAAGAAGTCTTGCCAATAAAGTAGAAGTCTGGGCTCATTAATATGTTAGAGGGAGGAGGGCATTTGGGTGACCTTCATCATATTTGCCCCTTCGAGAAAAAAGTAAGTTGTTTAGCAGCTGTTTGGCTTTCATGGGACAGTAAATACAGAAGGTGGCAAATTAAATGCATTGCAGTAGATTGGTTCTCGAATGTCCCCTAAGCACCAAGATGAAAAACAAAAACACCTCTTCTATGTGTTCACACCACTATCTATGGAGCCACCATAGGCCCAAATAACAAGTTAACTTGAAGGGAAACCTCTGGAGCTATGAACCAAAGTGTACTTTTATCTCTTTAAGTTAATAATCTCAGGTGCTTGTCACAGCTCTGGAAAACACACACACACACACACACACACACACACACACACACACACACACACAGAGAGAGAGAGAGAGAGAGAGAGAGAGCGCTTTGGAGTCATACAGAAAAGTATAATTTCCAGTTTTTTCACTAAGCGTGTAGGCAGGAGTCCATTATGTAAAATCCAAGTACTTCTGTTAAAACGTGTAAGGGGGGCAGTGATGACGCTAAGGTTGGGGGATAGTTAATCTTCATTGTCAGCTTGATTGGACTGGGACTTGGCTAGGAGACACACTGCTGGGGTGTGCCTGTGAGGGCAGTGACAGACATATATAACTGAGGTAGGAAGACTTATCCCAAATGGGAGTGGCATCATCCTATAGGCCATGTGGAGGGGGTGGGGAGCAGAAAATGAGCTGACACCAGCATTCCTCCTTCGGCTTCCTGACCCTGTATGTATGCAGTGTAATCTCACACTTCCTGTGGCCATGCATTCCTCTCCATGAGCCCAAATCACTCTTTCCTTTGTCGAGTTACCACCTTTCACAGGTATTTTGTCCCAGCAATGAGAAAAACAACTAATTCAGTCAGTGAAACACCCGCTAGTGTGCCCAACCAGTGTGTGCTTGGTAACCATTACTGGGCTCCTCCGTGTAAGGGAATATCTGCTGCCTCTTTAGTGGTGGTTGCTTCATTTTCATCTTGAAATGACTTTCTGGTCCTTCACTTTATAAAACCTAGCACAGTGTCATCAATTAGTGTCAACAGTCCATTTGTATTCCGCTTATTTGATTTTTTTTGGGGGGAACCAATTATTCTTCACGAGGACAGGGACAAGTCTGAGTCAATATTTATTCAGCAATATTAGCTGTCGTCTTGTGTATTAAACTTTAGGGGTTGAAAAATACTTTCTCCTGTACTCTTCATAGCCCATAACTTGGAGTTCATTTGATGACAGGCAGAGCAGCAACAGAAACGTTTTGGAATGTGCAGATCTGTGACAGGAGCCTGACCCAGAGAGACCAGCAGATCTCTAGAGAGGGCTCCAGCATCACTTTCTACCACAGCCCCGCCCCCCATACCAGCATTGCTGAACCCAAAAGGAGGGTTGGGACAAGGACTTGGTTCAGAGGAGAGGGCCAACACAAGCCCTGTGAGCAAAGCACAGTTTGGCACATGGGTTGAAATGGAGCTGAGTTGATGAGGGTCTCTAATGACTTAGTCATTCTTTCCCTAGAACAGAAAGGTAGACAATCTCACAAAGGGAAATTTCTAGCACAGATATAAATTTTATCAAAGGGCTGAACTTCAGAATGAATCTTGTGTCTGTACTGCCTCAAAGAAGCTATAGTTAGAGAAAGAGAGAAGGGGGAAAGGGAGAGGGAGAGAGAAAGATAGATAGATAGATAGAGAGAGAGGGTGAGAGAGAGAGAGAGAGAGAGAGAGTTGCTTGGAATCCAGCATGTACCCTTGAACATGCTAGGTAAGCACTCTGTCTCTGGGCTATGCCTTGAGTCCTTTAGTTTAGACCCTGGATGTCTCTCAAAGGCATCATGTGCTGACAGTTTTGTTCCAAAGATGATGCTATTGGGAGGTGGGAGAACTTTTAATAGGTGAGACCTAGGGAAAGGTCTTTTGGTCATTGGAACCATACCCTTGAATTGGATCATGGAACTTCCTGTCTGCTTCTTGATATCTCTTGTTTCCTGGACATGGTATCTACTGCCTCTTTTTAGGTCCAAAAGTAATGCACCAATTGTTCATGGTCTAAAACCTCCAAAACCATGAGCCAAAATAAATCAATAAATTATGTGTATATGTGTATGTGTGTATATGTGTTATCTGTATGTGTTATGTGTGTGTGTGGTGTCTGTGTGTGTATGTGATATGTTCGTGTGGTGTCTCTGTGTGTAGTGTCTGTGTATGTGTGTGTTGTGAGTATGTGGATGTGGTATCTGTGTGTGTACTGTGTGTATGTGGTGTGTGTGTGGTATCTGTGCATGTGTGTGTATATGTGGTGTTTGTGTGTGTTGTGTGTGTGTGTGGTAACTGTGTATGTGTGTGTATGTGGCATGTCTGTGGTGTGTATATGTCTGTTTTGTGTGTATGTGTGTCTGTGTGTATTTGGTGTGTGTGTGTGGTATTTGTGAATGTGTGTGTTTATGTGCATGCCTGTATGTGTGGGAGGTATGCGCATGCATATGAATAGAAAGTCTAGAGATCAAGCCTAAGTGCTGTTCCTCAGGAGCTATTGGCTGTGTTTTCCAAGTCAGGGACTCTTGTCAGCCTGGAACCCATTGGCTGACTGCTCTCCTGCTGCAGCACTGGGATTACAGGTGTGAGCCACCTTAACTGGCTTCTCTTGCTTCCCTTCTGGGGTTCTAAGCATTGAGCTCGGCTCCTCATGTTTGAGGGCTAGACACTTTGCTGATGAACCATCTCCTCTGCTTCCCTTTTACCTTTATAACTGGATTATGTCAGGGAGGAAAAGCTGACTAAATAGCCATGTTTTAGAATGATGTGTTCTGAGCCCCATCAAAACAAGTCTGTTATAAGTCAGATTTCACATTATTAAATGGAGCCAACACAAGTATAAACAGAGATGTAGACATCCAGGGTAGCACAAAGTGATGGCACAGCTCCATCTGCCGCCTCCTATCTTTCAGCCTCTCCCCCTGTCCCTGTTACCAGGTTCCTGACACATCACCTTAGTGGCATTTTCTATATGGAGAAATTGGTTTCTGGTTTTGGCCTTTGTCCCAATTGTTCTTAACGCTAGGGTCACTCTTTCCCCACCCTGTGGTGGCTTTTCTTGTTGTTCAGATTTTCTCAGGAAGATCTTTTCTGGCCCACCAATCTGACAGAACCTCTCTGTCACAGGCACCTATTGCAGTCTCACTGTGGTGTGAGTGAGTGACTTGTTGCTCATTTGTGGGCTGTTGTCTGTTCCTTCCCAGCAGACTGCAGCACAGCACACACTGCACGCCTCAGAGGTCTCTTATTTCCTACTTCACGGTCAGTGCCTAGGGTGGGGCCCAGCACACAGCTGGGTGCCTGCTAAATACTTGCAGGGGGACACAGGAGTGAACAGCACTGAGATGGCTTATTATGTACATGGAAAGGCACACGGTCCAGTATTCTCAGCTCTCTCTGGACTGTGTGACCTTGGAGAGAATCTTACCTTTTGGATCTTTATTGCTTTTCTGACAAATTTCATGTTAAACTAGATCCATGAGATTCCTCACGTTGGCTCATCCTGAGCCTGTCCATTTGCTCCAAAGCTGGGCAATCTGAGAAGGATTTACTCTTATACAAAAAAGCAATCTTACAGATGGTGCATGCATCAAAGCCCCAACCATAGCAGGCTGTCGCTGATAGATCTGGACAGTCAGATAATAAATGAGAACAAAGCATTATTTCTCAAGAAAGAAAGAATGACTTTATTTACACAGGGTGAGGTACTGTGTTGTTGATGGAATACCGCACACATGCACCCCAGAACCTTTGGAATACCTGCACAAAGCACCCCAGAACCTTTGGAATACCTGCACAAAGCACCCCAGAACCTTTCTGAGCAGTGGGGGAAAGATAGTAACAGTTAAAGCACAATTATGAAAAAGTCCACATTACTCCTATTCCTTCATGTATAATTTCAAAAGATTTTTCATAATTTTATCTTTTAGACCTTCCCTACCCCCTTTCCTGCTTTATATTTTTTATTTGCTTTCCTTTCTTTTAAAAGCTTTAGAAAAACCATGGAATGCCTCATGAATTTGCCTGCTGTCCTTGTACAGTGGCCACACCCATCTCCTCTGTCTGGTTCTGATTAATACATGTGCTAGGGAAGCTAACACAGGGCCATTCCTCTTGGGAAATACTTTGTTAGCAGACACCCTTTCTCTCTTCCCTTACCATAAACCTTTCAGAATATAGTGTCTCGATGTTCTGCGTTAATTCACTGTTGTTACCTTGATTCATTACCTCAGGCTTGAGAGCTAAAAACAACCCAAATGTATTCTTTTATTTTTGAGACATTGTTTCACTCTTTGGCCCTGGCTGTTCCGGCCTAAAACTCTCTGGGTAGATCAGGTTGGCCTTAAACTCACAAAGATCTACCTGTTCTACCGCTCCTCTCTTTCACACTGAAGAATGCTTGGGATTGCAATAAGCCTACCTGTGTAATCGCGAATATTATCTCTGTTTGAAGTCAGGCGATTGGCAGCTTTAAGGCCATCTGTTTCCTCAGTCTTCCTGTGCCGTGCCATGTGGCTTAATTACAGATTTCTAGGCAGTAAGTCATGAACACCTCCAAGTGTAGAGGGGCATTAAACCTTACACTACATGCAAAACACAGATGATAAGGTAAGTACCAAACAGAGATCTTGTTTTGACCTTGGTTTGCCAAAGAGAAAATTCTATATAAGACAATGCCAGCCCCTGGAGCATGCAGCAGGAAACGGGTTTTGAGCTGGAATCCCTTTCTTCACCTTTTAGCATCATCTTGAGTTGATGGGATGTTAACCTTCCCATTTCATAGTCTCTAGAAAATGCTGACAATGATGGTTTGGCGTGAGCTCCTTTGCCATGTAATTGGTGTTGAACATTTTATTTGGTGTGTATGTGTGTGTTTGTGTGGACACATGTGTGCCCTTGCTCATGTGTGTGTTCATGTGGAGGCTAGAGGTCAACATCAGATACATCAGATGTCTTTATCTCTCCACCTTTTTTTTTTTTTTTTTTTTTGAGACCGGCAGTGTCTTTCTCTCTGAACCTGGAGCATCCCCAATGAACACCAGGGACCTACCCTCCCGGCTCAGCACTGGGATTCCAGATGTAGGCTGCCACACCCCGATTTTCCATGGATGCTTGCTCATCACGTTAGGTTCTCATGCTTTTGTGGGAAGCATTTCAGTGACCAAGCATTCTCCTCAGCTCTGCTTTGGATTTTCTGCCCGAATCTACCAATAGGACCAACCACAACCCCCAAGCCTATCATGTCGTGCCCCCCCCCCATGGAACACTAGAGGTAAATTTCTTTCTGCCTTGCTTACCTGGTAGCACCATTTCCCAAAGAAGAAAAAGTTAACTTCTCCTTCTCTGAATCATCACTTTTAGAGAAGTTAAAATTCTTTTGTTTCAATACTCACATGATTGAGCAAGCATTTATGGGTTAGGGTTTGTAGGGGAAAGAGACAGTTGAAGAAAGAACAAATGAGCGTAATGTAAATCAAATGCTCAAAAGGTCCTAAGTGTGTGTTCTTGATGGCAATCCTTGCACAGCTCCAATAGGAAGCCTTGACAGAGATTGCTTCGTAAGGGAGGTGGCTTTTTCCTTTCACATGCTAATCACTTGCTCCTGGTGACATTTTTCTCCTTGACTGTAGTCAAGGAATTGAATAATTTATAGCATGAATTTTGTTGAGAATTTATTGTGTCACAAGCAGGTTGTAATTTCACTAACAGTTCACTTAAGTTATTAAGTTAAAAAAATACGGTTTTCTAGAATGGTGCATTTGGAGGGGTCCCCCGCCCCCAGCAAGTTCACATCTTATATATTTTCAAAACAGAGCACTTGCCTGGTTTTTATTCTGAATTAGATATGAGAGAAAAAGCACACATTAAATAAGTTAACTTATGTGCACATTATTGTTGAATTTTGAGAGGAGTAAACCAATTACTGAAGATTTTGTAGAGACTGGAATAGCTTTAAACCCACAGTGCCCTGGCACTGCTGCCACTGTTTGATGAGTAATTGTCCCCCATTTACTGGTGATGAAGCATTGGTGGTGTCAAGGAGGGGCCTGCAGGATGGCTTGGCTCGGTTGGTCCCGGTGCTTGCTGCCAACCCAGATGACCAGAGCCCCAGATTCCACAGTGCCAGGAGAGAACCTGAAAGTTGTCCTCTGACCTCCACACCTGCAGTCTCTCTCTGTCTTTGTCTGTTTCTCTCTCTCTCTCTCTCTCTCTCTCTCTCTCTATATATATACTGGGTCATCTGATTAGTGTCCATCTCCAGCCCCCAGATCCAGGCTCCTTGCCATGGCCTGTCCATTGTGATAAAAGGCAGCACTGGCCACAGGGGAAACCTCTGCTAGTTTCTGCAGAGGTCTCCACAGCCCAGCAAAGACACATTTTAGATTTCCCGATACATCAAAGATTTCTATAGATCCAGCCAGTGGGAATTTCCAACAAGTCATTTCTTTCTCCAGATAGATTATGCCTTGGATCACGGAGGGGGCTGACTTTTGATTCCTCTAGGAGTTGCTGTGTTCTTATTGGTACCCTGGTGGTCTACTTTCTTATCCTGCCCTTCTCCAACCGAAGTCCAGGAGACACTGGATCATAGTTCTTCTTCCTGGATGGGAATACATCTTAGTCTTTAAACTCAACATCTTTACCATTTGTTGTTACCTGGACTCTAGAAACAGTCGGGATGGAGCAAGTTGCAGTTATCCATAAAACAAAACAGAACAAAAAAACAGATAAGACTGTGTCATGCATCCAAAGTTGAGAAAATAGCCTCTCAAATTTCAGTTTAAAAAATGCAGTTCTATCCCTGCCTCTTTCTAAGAGGATTTTTTTCTTTTTTTCTTTTGGCGCCATTTTAGAAAACTCGCGGACTGTTCCTATATGCCCCTCCTACCTGGCTCAGTCCTTTTCTACTAGCGTCTTTTAAAAGTTTATGTGTTTGTGAGTCTGTGTGGGTGGGTGAAGGTGCCCGTGGAGACCAGAAGGGGGCCCCAGATCCTCAGTAGGTGAGTTACATGTGATAGTAACCCAGTGTGGGTTCTGGGAACTCAACTCAGGTCCTCCACAAGAGCAGCAAGTGTTTTACACTTCAGCATCTTCCTGATAAGCCTCTTATGTTTGTACACATGGAACACTCATTACAATGGATGAGGAAATGAATGCTGGCAGGCTTATATATAAGTAAACTCCAGAGTTCGTCAACTTTTCATTACTGTGCTGCAATATCTGAGGCAGGCTGCTTTATAAAGAAAGGAAGTTTATCTGTCCCATAGGTTTGGGGGCAGAAATCCAAACATTGTGGCATAAGGTCTAGTGAAGGGTCTCCGACAGCTGCATCACATCATGGTGTCATCAGAAGCATGTGTCTGTTTGTGTGACCCCTCTCTCTATTTGTAAAGCCACCTGAATTCAACTGTGGGGACTTCATGCAGATGCCACCGTTGCCCAGGCACCTCTATATAGCATGGCTGGATCATTCCTTCTTTCTCAGTTTCATTTTCATAAGACTTTGGAATTACATTGCATGAGTTGGGGGCGGGTGGGGGCTGGGGTTGGACCAATCATTTAAACCATACTAGTTGTAATAAAACAAGCAAACAAACAAACAAACAACAAACAAACAAACAAAAAAACCCCAGCACTTTGAGAGAGAAAGACACCATGTGACAGGGTTCAAACAGAGGGTTTTTTTTTTGTTTTGTTTTAATTAGAGAAAGGGATCATAAAAAGGGAGAGGGGAAGGGGGAGAGTAGCTTCTGGGTACAGGAGCAGCAGGAGAGAGGAAAAGGGTGCAGAGAGAGAGAAACAGAGAAAGAAAGACACACAGAGAGAAAGAGACAGGATGGGAGGTGGGCAGGGCCCTTTTTAAAAGGGAACATAGTGAATAGGTACAGTTGGTGCTCTTAGCGGCTGCAGCTGTCAGAACCCCAGGGGCAGGCCGTTACAGATGCCTAAATACTAACACTAGTAGTGTACATTCTCAAGGTTCTTGAATACCACAGAGACTTTCTTAGCTCCTGTGAGCTTACCTTGGAGAGTTATTGATATGGGGGTGGGGAGGAGTGGAGAGTCCTTGAGAGCCATGGAAGATTTCTCACCTTATCTGTTTGAGCCCTTTCTCTTGTGAACTTAAAGAGAAAATTTTAAGGAAAACTTGAGGGTGAGTTTAGAAAGGAGTTTATTATAGGAATAATATATTATAGAGAAAGGAGGCAGCCAAGAGGTTTGGGGACTCAGGAGGTAGAGGCAGGTGCATTTCTGTGAGTTTGAGACCAGCCTGATCTACAGAGGGAGTTCCAGGACAGTCAGGGCTATACAGAGAAACCTGTCTTGAAAAATCAAAAACAAAAACAAAAATCAGAAAGAATGAAAGAAAGAAAGAGAGAAAGAGAGAAAGAGAGAAAAAGAAAGCAGGCAAGCACAGGTCCGATACAGCAAAATGGAGCCCCAGGAAATTGAGGGTCATTGTTTAGGGACTAACAAGGCCTTTCTGTGTTGATGGAGGGGGTCAGAATAGCTGGCCTGCCCATGAGATGTCTATGTGCCTATCTCCTTCCCAGATGTGTGGGCTGGAGTTTCAGTCATGCCCTTATGGAAGGTAACAAAAACCCAGACCAGGAGCCAGAGCTTCCTGCATGCCTGGCGTTTGTGTTTGTGGCCTCTGGCTAGGACAAAGCCATGTCTAGCTTCTGTCCAAGGATGAGAATCAAGGTTCCTGTCTTACACTGAGCAACTTTTGTCTCCTGTTTTGATTACTAAGGCACTGGATGGCATGCAGGGAAGGTCTGGGCTCATCGTCAAGTCCATAGTGCCCTGGTCTTGGACTTCAGCTCTAGAACTATGTGACTGTTGTTTATAAATTACCTAGTCAGTGGATTAGTTGTTATAACAAATTGAAGAGTCTAAGACAGCCCTGGAAAGTGCTAGGAAGAAAACAAGGCAAATACGGTTCCGTGTGCATGCACCTGGGCGTTCCTGTCACCAGGCAATGACATCTACTTCTGCTGGTGTGTTAAGGTCGGGCCTGTTTGAAGAGGTGGCACTTAACTGATAGAACAATAGGTGGTGGTATGAATAGGAGGGGAAGAGTGTCAGGGCAGAAG